CTGTGTCTCGTCTGCAGGGTGTCTATAACAGAGGGGACACAGTGAGAGATTCCTCTGCGTCTCTCTATCTCTGTATCTCTGTTTCTCTCTGTACACTTGACTCTCTTTCTGCCTCTCTGTTTCTTTCAACTCTAAAGAGCTTTATTGGCATGACCGATGGACAGTGTTGCCAAAGCAATAATTATCAGTTAAACATATAAAGACTTTTACAGCAATGAGATAATATTAGTATTTGTGAGCCTTTCTCTTTGCAGCTGTTGAGTTTCCTTCACCAGTAGGACTGGGAGCTGTTTTGATTCTGGCACGAGTGGGAATCCTGGGATTTGATTTGTTATTTTGAGGAAGAATGTTCTTCTAATCCCAAAGTATTTCTCACTGTGCAGCAGAAAGTGCATCTCTGTCTCTACGTCTCCCTGCTGGCAGTGGGAGCACAGCCTGTCCTCTCTGGACTGCCAGGTCTGCCTGTGTCCAGTTTTTACAACCAGGATTTGGTCACTGAGCCTGTCCTCTCTGGACAGACAGGTCTGCATGTGTCCAGTTTTTATGACCAGGCTGTGGTCACTGAACCTATCCTCTCTGGACAGCCAGGTCTGCCTGTGTCCAGTTTATATTACCAGGCTGAGGTCACTGAACCTGTCCTCCCTGAACAGCCAGGTCTGCCTGTGTCCAGTTTATATTACCAGGCTGAGGTCACTGAGCCTGTCCTCCCTGGACAGTAAGGTCTGCCTGTGTCCAGTTTCTGTGGCCAGGCTGTGGTCAGCGAGCCTGTCCTCTGTATGCACCCAGCTCTGCTGCCTCTCTCTGCCTGTGATCTGGAATCTGTGCATGGTGCAGTCAGAACCAGCTGTCAGCACTCCTCTATCAGTTTCTTTCTTCGTCTCTCTGTATCTTTCTCCCTGTCTCTCTTGCTCTGCAGCTCTGTTTTTTCCAGTCTCTGTCCTCAGCAGCTGGCTAGGGGTAACCTCACTCTGCTCGTGCTGCCCAGGGACGCACATGAAACGCAGCAGTCAGAAAGTATAGGTTCTGTAGAGACATTTACAGGAATCTCACAGGACTGAACACACTTTAGAACCCAGGCCAGAGAGTGTCTGTCTGCAGGAAGAAGGCCTTGTTATTCACAGTGGTGACTTCCTTGTTCTTACAGCCCACTACTGTAACCTCTGACCTTTGACCTTGGGGCCTGCCCCCTCGCCCTACGTCCCCTTGTAACAGATAGGTGTGGGTGGTCAACAACTTCTACTACAGACAGACCCAGTAACCGACCGTGAACAGACACCTCTCGTCCCCTCCCTCTGTCCTCTCTCATCCCTCTCTCTCGGCGGGTGGGGGGGGTGTCTTAGACAGGACAGCTCTAACACAAACACACAGACCTCACAGGAGTCGAGTGTATATCCGCGTGTTTATTTTATCTTTATACATGGCAAGCGTCTTCGCTATTAACGTTTTGGAACAGCTCTTGTCCTGGAGGGATGGTTTGTCTGCGGGTCTTCCTTCCAGCTGGGCTCTTAAGGAGCTGAGCCAGCCAGTTCCTGACTGAACTGGACCACAATAACAGCTTCTCCCAGCTCTTCCAGTGCTGGTGCTGTAGAGAGACCTGGAAATCCTTCAGAGAAACATCTTCCAGGACCAGGACTGGACACCAGCACTGTAGACACACAGAATCTCCAGTACACAAAGACACAAATACACTAACAGACTCACACTGAAACAAATACACATACAAATACAAATCAGAAATACACTTATGGACACAATTTGAAACAAATACACACTGACATCCATGGACTCACATTGAATATAGACAGAAATATATACACAGCTGACAGCAGACTCAGACTGCACTGTCAGGATGAAATGTGAAATATGGTTGATAAAAGAATTGACAATTTATGTCTCTCCCCCGTTGCTCTCTCCCCCATCTCTCTCTCCCTGTCTCTCTCTTCTCTCTCCCCGGTCTCTGCCTGTCTCTCTCTCTTCTCTCTTCTCTGTCTCTCTCCCCTGTCTATCTCTCCTCTCTTTCCCCCTGTCTCTCTCTGCCTGTCTCTCTCCCCCCTGTCTCTCTCCCCACCTGCCTCTCTGTCTGTCTCTCTCCCCTGTCTGTCTCTCCTCTCTTTCCCCCTGTCTCTCTCTGCCTGTCTCTCTCCCCACCTGCCTCTCTGTCTGTCTCTCTCCACTGTCTGTCTCTCTCCCTGTCTCTCTCTCCCCACCTGTCACTCTCTCCCGTCTCTCTCTGCCTGTCTCTCTCTCCTCTCTCTCCCCCTGTCTATCTCTCCCCACCTGTCTCTCTCCCCACCTGTCTCTCTCAGTGGGGGCAGGCCAGCAGTGTGAGCTGACCTGTCGGCCAGTGGGCTTGAGGTTCTACGTGAGACAGGCTGACAGGGTGAGGGACGGCACCCCTTGCCATAGCAACGGGACGGACATCTGCGTGGACGGGGCCTGCCTGGTCAGTGTCCAATGTCTCTGTCACTTCTGTCCCTCCACCCTGTAGTGTCCAGTGTCCAGTGTCTGTATTAGTCTGTCTGTGATGTGGTGCTGGAGTGATGGACAGTGTCCAGTGTCTGTATTAGTCTGTCTGTGATGTGGTGCTGGAGGGATGGACAGTGTCCAGTGTCTGTATTAGTCTGTGATGTGGTGCTGGAGGGATGGACAGTGCAGTGTCCAGTGTCTGTATTAGTCTGTGATGTGGTGCTGGAGGGATGGACAGTGTCCAGTGTAAGAATGTCCACTGTCTCTCTCAGAGCCTGGGCTGTGATGGGGTCCTGGACTCCAGCCTGC